CTCCTGGTGGGGGCTCCTGCACAGACCTACTGAAGGAGCCAGGAACGCTGAGGCCGGAGACACAGGTCAGAATACACTGGACAGGGGAGCTCAGCCATGGAGGTTCAGAGCTAGAGAGAGGGGCCCCTGGGGGTCAGCTCACCTCCCCACCCCGCCCACAGACCCATTCCACAGATGGAAAAACTGAGTCTGGGGAGGCTGAGACCTGGCCAGAGCTACGACTTCAACACCTCCCTCCCACTGTGCCTAATTAGTGTTGCTGGGCCCACAACGAGGAAACAGAGACTCCAAGAGGGGACCCAGTCATGAGGGGCTGGGACCAGACACCACACCCATCTGACTTTCTCCACAAAAGCAGCAACCCCAGTAGGGTCCCTCGGAGAGCCACATGGGAAGTCCCAGCCCCTTCTCAGGGGATATGAGGGCCGCGTCCTTCTCTCCATTTTCTAGCAAGAGAAACAGCCTGCAGGACATCCGGGACCTGGTGTCTGTCTCCAGGAGTGAGACACTCAAGGAGAAAGGAAGACAGAAGAGAAATATCGGTCCTACTCTTGCCACGACCATGCCAGGCTTCTTGAATGGGGTGATATCTCTTCTTGGCTTATGAACCCCATTATCTGCCCAGCTCTCAAAAGGCTGCATTAGCTATTACTATTATTATGGACATTGCTACAATATTTTGGTTGCTTACAGCCTTCCAAGGGGCAGGAACAGGCCCAAGGCTTTGCTATCCATAGCGTGATGGGGAAACGGAGGCTCAGAGAGGGGTGGGGACCTGGCCTCGGTGCCACTCTCAGAGCCTGTGTGAGAAGAACCCAGGACCCTCACCCCAAGAAGGCCATCAGGCCCCTTTCTCAAAACAGCCTGCTCTCTGCCAGGCTGGGGTCTCAGAGACAGAAACAGCTGCTCTGGACTCCTGGTTTGCTCTCCAGGTGGGTGTGGCTGGGCTCGGTCCCCCCTCCAGACCTGGATGCTCCTGGTACCCCCTGACCGGCTCACCCTCCCCGCTCCGGGCTTCATCTCCCTTTGAGCCATCTCCAGCTACGGGGTGCTGGGGGGAAGGGGATGACCTCAGGTTTCACCTATGACCGAGGCTCTGAAAATAGCCTCCTGCCCTGGCCAGGGCGGCGTGTGAGGGGGCTCAGCCTGGGCGCCCAGTTCCCCACTCCAATGTGCCCTGAAGCATGAGTCACTGAAACAACTGTGGCCGGGACTGCACTTGGGCCCTCCGTGCTGCCCCCGCCCGCGGACCTGCTGAGGCAGAGGGAGGACAAAGCGGCCCCTACCCTGCCAGTCTGACCCAACCCGAGTTGCCTGTCTTGTGCCTGGATGCCACTTGCCATGCCAGACCCAGAGATGGGGCGCCACTTGCCCAGGGTCACACAGTCAGCAGAGCAGGGACCAGAGCCCAGGCCGTCTGGCGGGGGAACCGGGGACGGGGAATCGGTAGAGGCACAGGTCACTGTCCCGCGGAGGGGATGCCAGGGCAGCGGTGTGGACGTTGGGCTGTGGCTGCCACCCAAGTTCTGGTGATGACTGTGGCCCTGATAAGAGGGAGCTGGGAAGAGGCCCTGGGTGTCAGCCAGCAGGGGCAGGCTACGGTCCCCAGATGCCTCCTCTCCTGACCACCATTCTCTCTGGGCACCTCCCCACTTCTGAACCCCTCTCCCTCAATTCCTGTTCTAGGTCTTGGCTCCCCTTCTCAGAGCCCCAATCCTTTTTCCAGCTCCTTCCCTTTCTGAGCCCTCCCCTTCCTCTCCCCCTCTCTGATCTCTACACCCGCTCTGGGGAAAGGTGCCAGGGAGGAGAGCAGGGGTGGGAGCCCACGTCACCAGTGACCCTAGCTGGTCCTGCAGGAAGGAAGACAAACAGTCCGTAACTGGGTCATGGACCTGCTGCCCCAGCCTCCCTTGTCCTCCCAGAGAGGTCAGACTAGATGAGAGGCAGGCCTGTCACTCTCTTTGTCCCACAAGACCTGCAACAACCGAGGCTCCTTCCGCAGGCACCTCCCGATGCCCTCACTGGCTGACAGGGCACAGGGGACCGCCAAGGCAAGCTAGACGCTGAGAATCCTCCCACACTCCTACACATCCCTCAAAGCCCTATTTCCAGGGTTCCTTCCTTCCGGCAGCTCTCCCCAGGGCTCCCTCAGACCTCGCCTGGACCACACAAGCTGTGGAGTCTGAGTCCAGCTCTTGCTCCTCCTCCAACCCTAAGTCCTGGGGCTGAGGCACTCCACTGCCAGGCAGCCCCTGGGGGTGGCATTAGCCTCCGTTTTCACCTTCGGCCTTGGGCTTCAGTCTCTCATTTTGTACAACTGGCAGAAAGGGATACTGCGGCCTGCTGGGGGTTGGGGATGGGGCGCTTGCCTATTGCCCTGGTAATCAGAGAGTGCGGGGAGATGGAGCAAGACGAGGCCTTGCCCAGAAACCCCACGTGGCCCACTGGCCCTTCCAATGAGGGCAGCAGCAGGTTGAAGGTGGGCACTGGGTCCAAGCTCTTGCTGGGCCCTATGGATTGGACAACTGTGTACTGGGCTGTGCCCCTCCCTGGGTCCCTCCCACCCTGACAGCCCAGGGCAGCAAACAGCACATGGAACTCCAATTCCCACTCCAAAAGCGTTCCTGGAAGGATTCTCTCTCCTTCATTCATTCAGCAACTCAACAAACACTGCTGAGAATCTATCTGACCCACCTCCTAAGCGCTTAACCCGAACTCCTATGCATCCCTGAAAGCCCTGACGCCAATGCCCCCTTCTTGAGGGAAAGCCCAGGTGAAATGGCAAACAACAGAGTTCATCTATGAACGCAGACCCATCTGGCACCACAGTTGGGGCTCCTAACCTAGGTCACTCCTCCCCCGAGCTCAGAGCAAATGTATAGCTCTTATCTAATGAGGGAGAGAGTCATCCAGTTGCTAACAAACATTTCCTGAGTGCCTACTGTGTGCATGGTGCTGGGGACCCAGCTGTAACCGGGGCTCGTCAGGTTGAACTAAGTGGTTTGAGGAAATGTGAAGGAGTTTGAGGGGCCAGGAGCCCCCGTGGGGGTTGTGTTTAGCTGGGGGGGTGGGGGTCAGGAAGGGTCTCTCACAGGACAGGACACTGAAGGAAGGCCTGAACGGTGACAGCCCAGGGCAGGAGCTTCCCAGGTGGAGAAAACAGCACCAGCGCAGGCAACGGTCCGGAGGCAGGACCGTGCCATCATCAGCACGTTCGATGGAAACAGTGCGGAGGCAGTGAAACTACGGCCCAGTGAACAAGAGGGAGAGGAGAGGCGGTGAGGGCAGGGAGGGGACCCAGGCGGGTTGTGCAGGACCTTACAGGCCAGGCCAAGGAGAGTGAAACCCCCTCCCCGACTGACAGGTGAGTGTGAGCCCTGGATCTGACTTCCCTCTCTGGTGTCCCAGGAAGAGGATGGGGCTGAGCCAGGGGACCATGGTGTTTGAGAGAGAGACAGGGAGCCAGGCTGTGCCTCGTGGAGGCTGAGCACTGACTGTGCCCACTGTCTGGGGGGAGAGACTGAGGCACCGAGCACTGAAGCCAGAGGCCCAAAGTCACACAGCCAGGAAGGAGCAGAGCTGGGGCCTCCACCTGAGTCCCTGTGACTGGGGACCTCCGGCCTCCTCAACCCACTGCCGGGCCCCTGGGCACGTGGTCTGACCCATCGGTGGGGCTCCCCAGTTCACTCTGCACTCCGTATGCGTTCTCTGGATTCTGTGTGACTCCCTTCCCCTGCTCTGTCCGTGGCCATCTCCTCCTTGGGGGGCCCACTCCAGCCAAAGAGGCAGCCTGTCACCTTGTTTCCTGCCCCCCCCCCACCTAGAATCCACAATCTCGTCCTCTGCCTGTTGACCCCATTCACACACCCCAACTAGCAAAGGCCCCCGGCACCCACTTGGTCTGGCGGAACTTGGGAAAAGCCTGGACAAGGCTGAGCTGGGTGGAAAGTTCAACAGAAAAACCCTCGTGGGTCAAAGCTCTCGTTTTTGTGGGGTCACTGCTGGCCAAGTTGTTTGGCGCCTACTGCACACCAGGCACCGTGTGACGGTTAAAGAATCGATCGAAGGGGGGCATGATGAGGCTCCCCATGTGGGGACACAGGGAGAGAGGCTGAGACTCAGAGAGACTCAAGTGCCTTCTTTCAACCGGCAGAACCCCCCGTCCATTCACACAACACATGTATGAGGACTGACTGTGTGCCAGGCCCTGTGCCAGCACCTCAGCGGGGTCCTGCTTCCCTGAATCCTCGGGCAGCCTGAGGAGTGGAGGTTACCAGGCACTTCACTGCACCGGGAAGACAGGGAGGTCTAGGTTACCCACCCTGTCACACAGCTGGAAAGGAAACTCCATTGGGAGCCCCCTGAGCAAGATTTGCATGAAGGTCTGAGACCACCCCCTACCTTAGAGCACATCTGAAGTGGGGTGGGGCTCTGTCCCCATAGGAGCGGTGTCAGTGAGTGTGCATGGGAATGTGGGGGCGCCCCTGTACTGCTGACCACAGGTCAACATGCACCCCGGGAGGTGGACATGGGCAGGAGCTGCATGGAGCAGGCGGCCCCATTTGTCATGAGCTAGGGAGGGAGGGAGGCTGAGGCAGGAAGAGAGAAGAGAGACAGAGGGAGAGGGAGACAGAGGGAGAGAGACAGAAGGGAGGGAGGCAGGGAGGGAGAGAGGGAGGGAGAGGAAGAGGGAGAGGGAGAGAGAATGCTGACTAGGCCAGAATCCCAGCAGATTTACAAGGCGCTGGGCCCTGATGCTGAGGCACCTCCACCGCAGAGAAGGGAGGGGTGAGAGATACAGACTTGGAGATGGACATGGAGTGAGGGTGTGCCTTCCACAGGATGTAATCAGAGGCCATCAGGCCCTGAGTGGAGGGCACACAGGGAGTGCCCACCTGCCCAGGTGTGGCCAACGAACCAGGTGTGCCCCAAAACCCAGCCTCACCAGCCATGCTGTGCTGCCCTGGGCAGGTCCTGACCCTCTCTGGTCCTGGCCCCTTTCCCAGCCCAGAGGTGCTGGGGAAGCCTGACCCTGGCAGAGCCCATACCAGGCCTAGCTCTCACTGTCTTCTGCCTCTCCCCACCCCCATGAGAGATGCTTAATCACCATCTATTAAATCAAACAACAGTTGGGTGCCCTCTCCCAGCCTCAGTCTCCCTGTTGGAGAAATGGCAGTAAAAAGAGTGCCACCCTGCCCAGCTGGTTTGGCTCAGTGGATAGAGCATCGGCTTGCGGACTGAGGGTCCTGGGTTCGATTCTGTCAGGGCACATTCCCAGGTTGCAGGCTTGATCCCCAGTGGGGGGCATGCAGGCAGCAGCTGATCAATGATTCTCTCTCAACATTGATGTTTCTATCTCTCTCTCTCCCTCTCCCTTCCTCTCTGAACTCAATAAAAAAAATATATATTTTTTAAAAAGAATGCCTCCCTGAGAAGGACCGGAGTGAAGGAATGAAGGAAAGAATGAATGAATGAGGGAGGGGCCCTGGCAGCTGCACTGTGTGGCCCCGGGGAAGCCTGGGCACTGCAGCCAAGAGAGATTTGGCCCCAAACCCGGAATAACTAATGTGGCGGTGGCAGCAGGCAGGAGGGAGGCAGGGGGGAGGCCCAGAGTGGGGCAAGCGTAGGGAGGCCGGCCTTCCCGCTGGCAGGATTTATGGAAGTAACGGCTGCTCCACACAGTTCCTCTTAAGAGTAAAAGTGAAAAAGTGCTTGAGTCACCACCATCGAAACAA